CCATAGTAAATAACCCCCCCCCCCCATGGTTATTACCATAAAAATCTCAAGTATAATACTCACCTATGTATAATATGCATCTGCCTTTTAAAGGTAAAAATTCTTGAATAAACTAAACTCTTATCTATAATGTGCACCCCCATTATACTCAAGATTTTAAGGTATGCATAGAAAGGAAGGGGTTCGCACCTGCCGCCGGACCCTCTGCCCAGCTGAGCTTGCGCCTGCCGGGCGAGGGGGGCGGGGTCGGGTCTTCCCCCGCCCAGCTGCCCGCACACCGAGCTCATGCCTGCCGGGGGAGCCTCCTCTGCCCAGCTGTCCTCGTGCCTGCCAGGGGGAGCCTCCCCCACCCAGCTGCCGGCCGCCCCCAGCCCAGCCCATGCCGAGGGCGAGTTTAAAACTTTTTTAAAAACCTCCTATGGATAATGCGCACCTCAACTTTGACATTAAAAACGGGGGGAAAAAAAGCGTGCACTATACTCGCGACTTTATGGTATATAATATTAATTGCAAAGTACATACAATTACAATTTGTATATAAAAACGTGTATAACCAATAGCTGTTAGCAAAATTAATTTATTATGTTACTATGTGTTAAAATAACCCTTTTATAAAAATGAGGCAAAAATTTGAAAGCGGTGCAAGTAAGAGATGGCAAAAGCAACAGAGTGAAGTAGCCATTAACAGTGAAAAATAACAATTTCTTATAGAAAAGATGCCTCAGCCATTAGATGGTGACCATACTGACACTTTCATGTCTGAAGATGAAAACTTTGTATCCACAAATCACATTTCAACGCCACTGCCTCAAACTGGGGTCATTAATCAAGACACAGAAAAGCCAACAGTAGCGATAGATGAAGAATCTACACTCATTTTAGAGACTGTGCAGGGAGGAAATAAGGACCTCGGAGCAGCAAGAGCAAAAACTTGTGTCCAGTGGTAGTCATAATGTAAAAAAAAGCAGCATGAGAACCGGATATTGAACTTCTTGATAAGGATCATGTGGCTCAAATGCAGGTCATTTCTCAAAGTTAGTTGTTTTCAGATTCCACATAATATACCAAAAGATACTAAAAATCATGCATTTCCCCAGTCGTCTGCTGACAAAAATTTCCAAATGGAGAGATCTACACAAGAGACTGACTCTGCTGGAGCATGGAAAAGCAGGCTCTGTACTGTGTACCCCGCCTCATTTTTAACAGCAATACTTCAAATGCATTAATACTGTCTAATCCATCCAATTAGAGCATTGGTAGAGGTTGGAGGAAGTTGAAAGACCAAATACCTGCACATGAAACTTCAGTATTGCATAAAGGTAACATGGAAATCAGCTAGTAAAGCAGCACTAGCTGACAGTTCAATTGAAAGCTTACTCCTGAGTGAAATAAAACACAGAAACTGATAACTGGAAAACCCCCTTGAGCGCATACTGAATGTCTTTTTCTCTGAACAGGGATTGGCTTTTTTGGTTCCAGTCAATGTATCAATTACCCTACAAATGGAAACTTCCTTGGTATACTTGAGCTTCTTAGCAAGCATGACTCACTTTTATCATGTTAAACGTGTTTGTGAATCACAAGAAATTAGAAAATGCATGCATATCCATTATGTGTCTACCAGAATATAATACAAGTTTACTGAGCTGTATGGGATCATTTGTGCAAACAACAATTCTTAGAGATACAACATCAAGTAGTTTTCAACTACTATTGATGCAACTCCAGATTGTTCTCAAAGAACAGACAAGCTTGGTTGTTCAATATGTTAAAATTGCAGGAAGTTACAAGTTTCAATTGAAGAACGATTCATTTTGTTTGATAATTTCATGAAAAAAAACCTGGAAGAGAAGAGAAAGGTTAGAAGTCTTCAAATTAAATTTTCGAATCTACACTGGCCAAGCCTATGACAACGGAGCCAATATGGTTGGAAAGCACAGAGTACAAGCAGTCTTTCTTGAGCAAAATCTGAACTGTATTTTCTCCAGTTGTGGCACTAAATCTTCTCAGCATTGGTTGCGCTGAATCATGCAAGGAAGCAATCACATACTATGGAACAATCCAGCAATTGTACAACCGCTTCAGCAGCAGTCCTCGAAAGTGGAAAATTCTGAAGCAGCATCTGCCCATTTCCCTTCATGGCATATCAATAACGAGATGGTCAGCACGAATTGATTGCGGTAAAGCTGTTCTCACAGTCCAGATGCTGTGCAACTAGTTTGAATCTCTTACACTTACAGCACAGGCTCGCACTGAGCTTAAGTCAATTCAGAAGAATACATCAAAATTTGAGTGCATGTTAATGTCATTCATGTAGATGAAGCTGATAAAAATTTCTCATAAAACTTATCTAGTAACTGAAGCATGCAATGCTACATTAGATGTTGAGAGGGATAACACTGAACTTCTTAAAGATATTCAGAAGATTCATAGATCAAAGGGATGCAATCCTTTGAGTCCAAATCAGTAGCACAGGGTATTGACATTTCATCTGAGTT